TTTCAAACATTTATAAACTATATAAAACAAATTTAATAGAAAAACTGTAACAATGTTCCACTGGGGGATACCTTTTGTGTTTTGAGCTGTAGTAGATTGACTGATGTTTCCTAACATGTTGCTTCCATAGAGTCTGGAATAGAGTTATTTTCTTTCCTTCATAAATGCTGTATAACAGTCTCTCAGTAGAGGGTGTGATCTGGGGACATTTGGCCATGGCAGATTTTGTTGCTATTATTTAGTGGGATGGGGATGGTCTTACCAGAACTTGGTGAGTAGCTGCCTGGGATGCTGCTAAACACCTTATAATACAGGACAGTTCCCCCACAACAAAGAAATATATGACAGAAACATCAACATCACCAGCTCAGTGAATATCAACTCTCTGATAAGCCATGGGCATTTAAAACTGAGTTATTATTTGAATCTTGTTTTTTATAAAAGGGACATGAATTTAGAATGCATTTACTCAAATATTTCATATTTTAAATGGACTGTGATGGGGTCTGGGAATGGGATAGGAGGGCAGTAGTAGTTCTATGTGGACTTCCTTAATGACTCCCTCTAACAATAGGCCCACCAAGCTGCCTTTAAGAACTTGGATTGCCATTGTTGCCAAGACTTTCAAGGTGGCAACTCTGAGTTTTATTTAAGTCATAAAAGGTAAGCCTGTGGGTCCCAAATCAAACAAGGTACTGCCTGAATCTATATGTAATATCCACATTACCTCTACCAGTTCTTACCTTTTTTTTTAAATCTTAACATTTCCTGTACGGCTAGCAAATTGAATTTTCATAATTGCTACTACATTTCTGGTAATTTCTATTTGTTTTCCACAAGCCTCTAAAGAGCTGATTGTCACAAAGAGTAGACCTAAAGACTTCACACAGCTATGAAGGGACACTTGACAGCATTTTTAATTTAAAGCTTTAAAAGCCATCAACATTAACGGTGCCATCACCTTTCAGGACACCTCCTCTCCCCCCTCAGGAGGATGTGGGAGTAATCAGTCCTTTGAGAAGGTTCTGTTGGTTCTCAGAGACAAGGAGCTCCTTAATTGCCACTTTTCTTAGTGTTTGAAATGTTTGAAATGTGTCTGAGTTTAAAAAGGAAATTTCAATATTGAAATGACAACGCTTATCCTAATTAGTTGGGCTCTTTTGCTGCATGTCTCTCTCCAGTTCCTCGTGAACACATAAACAGAAGTTTGGAAATTTTGCTCTATTTTATTTGACAAGCTTTGAGCGAGGGGACTTACATATGTGTGAAATATCTGGGTCAGAAAGAAGGGATTTCAGGAAAAATGAGCAGAAAAGGGAAGAGGCAAAAAGAGAGTAAGTGTTTGACCTGCAAACCAGCCTGCTAAAACTTTAGTTTGTGCTGTGATGTCCCCATGGGAGGGACATCTATGGGAAAGGAGCCATTCCCATGTGGTTTACTACCAGCCAATAGTGTGAGGGTTACTTTTGTGTGGATCGTACTGGATTATAACATGCAGTACCTAGATTAAAGGTTATTTCCACGTGTGTCTGTGAGGGTGCTACTGCAGGAGACAGACATGGATTGGCAGGCTGGATAGGTAGACTGGGTAAGTTCCCAGTGTGGGTGGGTACCATCTCATCAGCGGGGGATAGTAATAGGTCAAGAAAGCTGAGAAAGGACATTGTTTCCTGTTTCTTCCTGCTTGTCTGCTGACCTGAGACCTAGGGATTTTCTTGTCCTTAGACTGGGATTGTCCTTGGCTTTCCTGGTTCTTTGGCCTTCAGACTTGAACTAAACTATATCCACTGGCTTTCCTGGGTTTCCAGCTTGTGGACGGCAGATCATGAGTCTTCTTAACTTCTGTGGTCACATAGGCCAATTCTTATGTCTGTCTGTATTCTATCATCATCACCATACTCTATCACATTAGTGCTGTCTCTTAGGAGAACTTTAACACACTGGTACCAAAGTCCCAGCACTTAATATGGACTAAATCAGTATATAGTGAGGGGATAAATAAAAAATTTTCGCTGAAAAAAGGAGAGACACAGAGAGAAAGAGAACAAATTTCTTCAAGGAAGTAGGGATGGGAGGCCTTTTGAAGTCACCAGGAATTCTCTATCATTTAAAACAATGGTTTATTTTTAATTATGTGAGTGTAAATGCATGTGTATGAGTGCGCGCATGCATGCACATGCACTCAGGGGTTCAGACACTAGAAAAGGGCATTGAGTTTCCTGAGTCTGGAGTTATACAGGTTGTTGTGAGCTGCCCAATATGAATGCTGGGTAACTTAAAGTGCTCTTAACTATTGAGTATTGGAGGATTTATTAAAGCAAATCCACGTAGTTAAAAGGGAGGTTTATTTTGGGGGTAACTTAACAACAAGTAAAGGGATAGGTTACAGGATACGGGAGAGGTGAGGTGCAGTCCAGCGGTGTTCTCTGGAGAACTCTGCTCGGTCTACCATCCAGCATCACCAGAAACCAAGAGGGCTGGCACATCTGGATCTCGGGTCTTATGCCCGCCTCAGGGGCAGGCCATAGGTAGGTGTGACAGTTACTGGAAGCCTCACTGGGGATAGTACTTCCAGGTCAAAGCTGGAACAGCTGCCCACTACAATTGAGGTGCCTCCCCAGCCCATAGTCTCCATCTGTTTAACTAAAGTCAGCATTGGGTTTGCTATGTAATTGGTAGTCATTGAGAGTTAAGATGAGTGGAAAATAACAAGATGCACATTTACATGTGTGTCTGAGAGAGCGATGAACATTTATTTTCCAATTCCTTGCAAACCGAGGCAGTGGAGTACATTCTAATCCAGTGATTCTCAACCTTCCTAATGCTGTGACCCTTTAAGACAGTTCCTCACATATGGTGACCCCCAACCACAAAATTATTTCATCACTACTTTATAACTATAATTTTATACTGTTATGAATCCCAATGTAAATATCTGATATGCAGGATATCTGATATATGATTCCTCCAAAGGGGTCATGACCCATAGGTTGAGAACTGCTGTTTTACTTGTTACAGGAAAGGAGAGATGCAGGCCTGGAGGCCTCTCATTTTGTGATGATGTCTTATTGCTGACTGGCAGAAGGACCACTGCTGAAGCACAGGTCCCCAGGGCCACTCAGGGCATTATGGGGGAGAAGATGATACAGGGTAATTGCACTGATTACTAATGCTGTGAACATTTCTCTTGCTTAATAATCCACTTTTAATTTTACCCGTGGCAGTTTGTAGTTCCCACAACACAGCAATAATTAAATCTGTGTTCAGATGGTTGTAAATGTACCCAGAGGTCTTAAGCAATGGGTGAATTATACCCATTTAAGTTAGAACATAATGCTAGCATTCAGCCCTCCCAGAATAAATACTAATTACCCAAGTTCCTTTAAGTTCCACCAGATCCCTTTAGTTTCTACTTCTGTTTCCAGAGAGCAAGAGAGATGGGATTCAAATGGCGGGTTTTCATCCCAGTATTATAGTTATCACCCCTCTGCTACAAAATTCTGAGGTCTGGCTAGCCAGGCGGTTTACTCAAAGCAGGGCCAGGAAATGTGGCTGCTTTTAAAGGCCTTCCTTGAATGACATTCCAGAATTTGGGTGGGGAGGGAATGGGTAGTGTTAAGAAATAGGAAACAGGACACAGGGAAAAGGCCAGGAAAGTGCCCCTACACCCATATCTCCTGTTCATAAAGGGCTCCTTCAGTGGGCACAGTGGATGGCCCAGATGTGTGAAGAAGCCTGTTGGCACCAGAAAAAAACAAAACAAAAAAAGTAATGAATCCTTTTTTGTGGCTTATTCTCAGGAATGTAATTTAGTCCCTTCTTTCAAATACTTACTATTTCTTCATTTTAACAAGGGACATGAAGAAAGTTTGCTCTTCCTTGGGGGTTTGGGGATTTCACAAGGTTTGGCCTGTGGTAGCTGCTTGTGGGGAGCTATGGCTGCATGCTCTCTCATGTGGTCCCAGGGAGTCAGCAAACATTTATACTAAACACCTTCTGGCTTAGTGTCTATACACGGCCTCATGCCCCTTGGAATTTTCCCACTTTGATAATTTGCATTCTCATGGGACCTGGTCACCCTCCCCTCCCCTAGCCAGGCTCCTATGAACCCCCTTTACTCTCAGTGGGGCAGAGCTCTTCTTCTTTACTGCGTTGAGTGCAGTCTACTGCTCAGGTACCCCAAGACTGACTTTGTGACCTTACGGAACTGAATAGGATGGAAGTTTCTCTTGTCATCCTCTTCTTGGGGGCTATTCCCAGCTGGGGTCCTGCCACGTGTAACCTGGAGGCTAGAGTCGATCTTACACTGTACATTAGCAGAAAGACAGAGGGAGAAGGCCTTCATGGGTGACCAAGTTGAGGAAGAGTTGACCGCTAGAGCCACCCTTAGAATGGCTGCTGGTAAATTAGTTCTAAGCTGGAGTGGTAAGGCCTGGCCAGGCCAGGGCAGTAACTAAGGGAAGGCAGGAAGGTTTAGAATGTCGGGGCTGTCAAATAGTCTCAGTCAACACCCATAGGTGGCACTAGAGATTTGGAGATGTGGCTGTCACAGGGCACTCCAGGGTTGAGGGTGCCCAGAGAGAAGCAGGAGGGGGGCAGACTGGACCACTGTCATGGGGGCTGATCCAGGACATCAAACCATAGATAAGACCACAGTCTGCCACTTGCTAGTCACCTACTGTGAAGGCAAAGCAAAGAGGGAGATTAAGAATTCTGGGGAGATGGAGAGCAAGGAAGAGGTGTGAGAAGAAAGGAGGCAGGAGGCACAAGAGAGTGGAAGGATAGGGGCTGGGGAGAGATGGCAAGGCGGAATTGGCAGAATAGGAACAGAGCAGGGCACAGGGACACTAGGAACAAGGACCGCTCACTTGAAAGGGTGATGCAGAGGAGTCATGTGGGTAGAAGCAGGCTGGTAACTGCTGAGGAGAGGGGACCCAGAGAAACCAGGGTTAAAAAGGCACCCCTCCATAATTCCCCTAAGAATGGAGAAGACACATACCTTTCCTTCAGGATCTTTTATTAACGTATAGAAAATGTGTTTAAAAAAGGAACTATACAGAGGCTAAAAGCAACCGGGACTAAAAATACTAGTTAACAATGGTTAACAAGCAGATTCCAGTCTTTGAGCTACGGTGTCATGAAAGGATGGGACAAGCTGGCTCTCCCTCTTCCTTCCTCTCTAGCTTCTTACTTTAGTTCATCAGAGTGTACATCGCCCAATGAGCATATTCATATAACCCTTTTCTTCCTTTTGGCCTTTCTTTTAAGTAAGAGCCTTTTCAAGTACAGTGTAGCTACAAAGTCAGTAAATTGGTCTTTGTTATTTTTACCTTAAAAGGCTATTAAAGGTTAAGACCACAAATTCAAATTCGGAGGGATTGGAGGATTTGGTGCTTATGATTTCTCAGGATGACAACCGAGAGACCACCAGGTTGAGTTTCATCTGCTTGGAGCCCTAGCTAATGTCCCTCAGAGTCACAGTGACTTGTTTAGGGCACCTGGGAATTCCTACAGCTTGAGGGTACTTGGGGTTGGAAGGTTGGAATAATTTGTGTGTGTGAATACAGCAGGGAAGTGCATGTATGTTAAGGAGAGGCAGGAGGGAATAGATTCTGACCCTTGTTTGTGAGTCCCCACAGTGGCCCTAGGCCTTGAAAGGGATAAAGAAGCTAGATAGGATTACTCCCTTGGAGGATGTTTCTGCAGGAAATGCAGTGCTTTCTGTATCTAATGCATGTCTGAAGTGCCACCCCAAAGAGCCACCACTCTGAGGGGACCTGAGTTCCCTCTTGGGGAGATCTGGAGGGGAAAAGGGGTTCAGTGTTGGAGTTTTTGCCTGATAGGTGAAACCACCAAGTTTCTGATATTTTTCTAAATCGTCCTCCAAAAAAGTCGCAAAGTTAGTCAGGGATGTAGCAAATCGTTCTCCCAGGCTTCTCATTCACTGGGGGTAAGAGACAGGTAAAGAGCAGGAGAAAGAAATGAGAATAAATACACAGAACTTCCCTCCTGTCTCCTTGTAGCTCCAGCCTTCACAAATGTCCTCTGATGTGTTCCTTCAGGGAGTCCTGGAGTCTGGGAGGGGGTTGTGTGTATTTTGCCCGCACCCCGCTGATCTCAGCCCACACATTCATAGGGTGTTTGCTTCTGCTGCTGTCTGCAGTTTGTTTGAACACACTCATAACTCCTTACAAATTCCAGGCTCAAACTGACACCCCAGGAACTCACACTGTGTTAACCTGTGATCCCCGCTTCCTTGATCCTGGTTCTGTCTCTTGCTTTAGTTTGAGAAGGGGTCTGTGTTAGAAAAGAGGGAGGCTGCTGCCTCTGGACTCGGGTGGGAAATCGCATTTGTGTCCTGGCCCCATCTTCAAAAAGTTAAACAGAAAGAGAATTGCTGCCAGGCTATTTCTTACTACTTCTGACAGCTTGGGTTGAGGCGTCCCTGGAGTGTGTAGCAAGGTGTGTGTGTGTGTGTGGGGGGGGGGGGGAACAGCAAGAATTCCCATTTGTTAAAAGGAAAAGGAAAGAAGAATGGAGTTAGAAAACCTCCATGAGAATGTTACTGAGATCCAAGCTGGCGGCTGCATGGCTCACTGTGACAGCAGCTTTACAAACAAGAAAAATCAAGGAAGTTTATATTGGACAGAGATGATGGCTCTCCTCAGAAACTGTGTGACTTCAGGCATGTGACTTAACAATCCTGTACTTCCATTTCCCTCATTTGTAAAATGGTTAAAACTGACTCTGGATTGTGGGGAGAATTCAATAAAGTAATTGATGTAAAGGCCTTTGCACAGAATCTGATCAATAAGTACTATTTTTTCTCAGTCTCTATTAAAGGAGAGACAAAATAGAAAAAAAAATATTGTACCAGGTCTACCCTGGTTTTATGCCTCATTGGCTGCGTGAACTAGGGCAAGCTGCTTGCACATTTCTGCCTTGCTTTACTTGAGTATGAAGCGAGGGGGGTGTGTTAGGTGATTTCAGGAATTCCCTTTGGCTTCAAAGGAGTGTTTTTTAATATTTGCCTAGGGGACAGGGTTGAGCATGTTAGTGTTCAATGATGGATTGTTTAAAGGCAATAGATTTCTCTGGGGGCTGTGAAACTACTGACAAGAAGAAAACAGTTCCCATCCATGTATCTGGCTCCCAATACTACCCCCATCCCAGGCTTCCTCAGTATAGTGTGCCTAGATCTCAAAGATTCTTGTATTTTTCCCTCCAGAGCAAGTGGCCAATGATTATACTCAGGAAAGTGTCCATTAGGGATCTTTGAGAGGGTTAAATATTTCTAAACTGGAAATTGAGCATTAGCCTAGCCTCACAGCTCAGATAATACAGTGCTGTTCTATAAAGTTAATAGAGGTGATCTTAGGAACAAGGGCTATGTTAAATGGATGCTCTGCAATAGCCTTCTTAAGCTGTGGAAGGGGGAGGATTTCCTGTTTGGAAAAAAAACCTAACACTGTCCAAAGACTGTGAGGTTTGCCAAGGACATTTGGACAATGAAGCACTGCAGGTGCAGTGAAGTCATGTTTCAGGCAAGGAGTGACCTTGAAAAATAAATCAGAAATACTTGCGATGATGAACCAGGCTGTGTGAACTGGGAAAGGAAAAGCGAGGTTGAGGCAAGACTGGTTGAGCAGCAAAGAAGGCCCCACTGCTTCTTGCTTCTGCACAGTAAGGCTTCCAGTGGCTTCCTGTCTCTGGCGAAGGATGGAACCTGTAGGAACTTTGTCTGGAGGCCAGAACTCGAGAAGCCAGTGCCAATGCTGTTGCCTTCACCGTGACTGCTCACCGGGTTTGGTTTCTGTGTTTCCATGGTGGGGCCGTCTCTAAGATTTGTTTTTGTTTTATAAGACTCCATCAGCTTCTTTTATTTAACTTACATTTTTTTCTTCCTTCTTCCTAGCTATTTTCTCAGAGCTTGAAGAAGACAAAACCGGCTTAATCTAAATCCAGCATGGATTTAGTTAGGATGAACCAAAGCCACTCTTTCCAAAGGGACCCGAGTCTACATCAACACATCCTCTAAAAAACGGGAGCTTTCCCTGATCCTGGTGACTTCCTACTGGTGCTGGTTTCCCTACTTAATTGGAGTAGTTTTCATTTGTTCTGTGAGCCCCCATTTGGCCTGGCAGTGCCAAAATACTGCAGTATTATTGGTAGAGATGCTATCACATATGGGAAAGTTGGACTATGGAAGAAACAAAGGCTTAGGAAAACAGTTAGTCAAAGCACTTCAGAAATTTGTTCTGAGGACCCAGTGGTCCAACGAAGAGAATCCAGAAGCCACAGGCCAGAAGCCAGCTCTGTCCCTGTATCCCCAGAGGGGGGAAGCTTGACTGCTTTGCTATCTGAATGAAAGCAGGCCATCTGGGAGGATAGATGAGAGACTGAACCCCAGACATTAAATAGCCTAGTCTCTGGGGCTCCCACACTTCTTCTTGTAGCTTGGGCAAGTTTGAGGTAAGCTAAGTATTCTCCCATCTCCTCTAGGACTGAAATTGCATTGAGTCTTTCAGAGTTTTGCTCTGGACATGTCAGAGTGGACAGTAGGATGTAAATAGAGGTGGCAGACCATCTCCACTCCCCCTCTTCGGAGGAAAAGAAACACCACCAAGGAATTGGATCAAGTGGGAGTTTTGTGATCAGCGAGCAAGGGGGAAGTGCCTCCACCCTTCCAGGAACCCTGGGTGAAGCGAAGAGCGGCAGACTATGCCTCAGGAGCACTTTCAACTGTGGTCACTGATGGCTCTTTTCCAAGCCCTCCGCTTGGTGCATCCACTGTTCTCATGGGTTCCACTTTTCTTTCTCCAGACAAAAGGACAAAGAGGAACTCACCAAACCTTTCTCAACCGATGCTTTGAAAAAAGCTCTTTGAAAAGGTTCGGTAATGACCTCTTGTCCCATAATCTATAGTTCTGTCCTGACACCAGTTTTTAAAGGTAAAAACATGTTCAAGGTAGTTTGTTTAGGCATCCTGCTCACTGGCAAGGCAACCTTGGTAGTTCAGGTTCATCTGTGAAGTGAGAGTTTTTTATCCATGAGGAGCTGATTGGCTATCCAGTAAAAGGCAACAGGATATTAGGGGTGAATCTCCCCTCTTTAGAGATAGGGTGTTGATAGCTGGGAGAAGGGGAAATTTAACTAGCTGTAGAAGTTGGCTTCACATTTCTCTGCTGCCATGTTGCTGTTCTTTTCCAAATCTATCTCCCGTATAAATGAGTTCTGGGTCCTGATTTGGTCTGAGGTCACCTGGAACCAGAAGAAGCATACTGCAGAGCCAGAAGCATGCTGCATCGTTTGCTACTTTTCATAAGCAGTTATGTAGGCATCTAGGTGCTGTGAACACCACCTTGCTGTCCTGTTACCATTAAGTCTGGTCTGAAGGCTAGTACTTTCTACAGGTCTGTCATCCCTGACGAAGAGTCTTCATAGTCTCTTTACCTTCCAGAAGCAGCCCTGGGAAAATGTGGATTCAATATGCTAGAAACAATCGACAACAGGGCATGCAAAAGGGAAGAGGAGAGTGGCCCGGCTCTCGATTGTAGGCAGTGAATCTGTGGCAGTCGCTAATGACTGGTTGTTACTGTTTTTGTTGTTGCTTGGGTTTTCCTGGAAGTGTGTATTCTAAAGTGTCTGCAGTTATACCGTATTCTTGACAGGGCCCACTTCAAGTCATTCTGAGTCCCTTACGGGAAAATTGGGTGCTTGGAATGGGTGCTGAGTGCTGCTGCCTGCCTCCTCAGGGACAAACCCAGGTGTGGGAAGGAGCAGATGAAAAAGAATCCATTAAGAAGCCCAACGTAGAGGTTAAGTCAGTCAAGTTCAGAAGCTTTGAGTCAAGCTTGCCATGGATCTTGAGAAGACAGTAGAATGCATAGTCTCTTCAAAACATAGAGTTTGGGGTGGAGCTCCCTCTACTTAACAAAAGGGATCTATAAACCCTTTTACAGAAGGTTGGATGAGCTGATCTTTGAAGTCCCTTCCTTACTTTAAAATTCCTTTAAGTGATTCTAGGTGATGCTGCCGATACTATTTATAAAAATGTTCCACAGGATAAAACAGTTCCAGTGAAAGGCAGTTTTGGATTTCCATTGATATTTCTTGATTTTCCCTGGAACTGATGACATGCAGTCTTGTTCCATTTCAGCTCCCTTGATGAGGTGGGCTGTACGGGCACACCCAGGTCCTTGGCTCTCTACAGACGCAATGGCTTCAACTTCTTTTGGCATTGGTGTCTCTCTCTCTCTCTCTCTCTCTCTCTCTCACACACACACACACACTCTCACTTTCTGTGTGTGTGTGTGAAGGAGAGAGAGTTCTGAATCCATTTCCTTCCTCCTTCCTTTTTTTCCTTCCCTTCTTCCATCTCCTCCTTGGAGATTCTGACATTTTCTTAATTGTGATGGCTCACCAAGACCAACTTTGATCCTGCTTTTCCTATCACAGATTAGCATTATTGGCTGTTAAAACTGAAGGGGTGTTAGAAATCCTTTTGGTCTAAGCTCCGATTCGATGGGTGAGGAACCTGAGGCCCAGAGAAGTGAATAAACCCATCAAGGTCCTGTAGCTGGCATGGTGGCAGAGGTGGCCCTATATCACAGCCCTCAAGTCCCTTATTGAGTGTGCTCACCTCCCACTCTGCATGATTGCTCTATATGTCGTTAAATCTCGTATAACTTGCAGACTCCTCTATCCCTCCTTGTCTTGGCTGTTTGAAGTCCATGTTGGATTAAGAAATGAAAACTCCACTTGTCATGTTTGGTCTTGGGTGTGGCAGTGGATCTATATCACAAAGATGGAGAAAGCTACAGAAAACAGCAAGATGACTCCAATGTCACACTGCTGGACATGTGATCATCAGTCAAGAGGACTGCTGCTTCTGGTTCAAAGCCTGGTTAGATGGTGGCTGATTCTATTACAAAATGTCTCCCCATCCTGTGACTGGTTGGCAAAGGTATAGGGTGCCCCAGATGGCAACCATGGACCCTACAGCAGACACACTGGGGTCTCAGGGAGGAGTGAGGACAGAGAGAAATCAGCTGAGAGACTTGGCACGGTTTGGGCAGAGGCTGCAGGGAAGACTGGCTGGCTTTTGATTTGTGGAGAAGCTGAAAGGTCATGGCTTCTATAGCCTCCAGTTTCCCAGGGCTTAAAAAATCAAATCATGCGGGGGTGGAGAGTTCGCTCCTCTCACCTTTGGAGTTCCAAATGCAATTTCCTCAGGCACTTTTCATCTTTCTTCTCAAAGCAGAATAATAAAGGGGGGATGGAAAGTGTTTCCCATGATCTCACCTCATTGAGGGGTCGGTTCTGCTTACCACAGGATCAAAACAAACAAGAGACCAGAACATTCTATCTCTTCCCAGGGTTATCAGTCAGGGGAATGGCTGATGGTCTTAGAACTTCTTCCCCTGATTTCTGTGAAGCCACTTGTACTGAGGATAGCCTGGCTGAGGACAGAACCAGAGACCTTCAAATAGGACATCCGGGGAAGGACTCCATGGTAAATGTGACCAGAAATGCAAAAAAGCAGCTCTAAGCAAGGTCAGTTTCCAGTGGGACTTACAGACTCCCTGGTAGGTGCCCTGGTTTCTACTCCCGTCCTTTCTCAGTGCCTGATGCAAACACGCCAGAAATAAAACCCTCCTTCTCCCTGTCCCACCACCAAAGAAAATTATTCCGTGACAGTGGCTTATGACACCCAGGGCCAGGGGCAGACAGCTTTGGCAACTGGAGTTCTAAACAATGGTTGGGTTTGTAGGTCTGTAGGGATACAACTAGGGAAGAGGTGGGGCTGGAAGAGGCCACTCCTCCTGAAAGTTAAATGTCAGAATGTGAGAATCTTTAGCCCATTTCAATGAACTCGAGCTGTTGTGTTAGTGTGTGTGTGTGTGTGTGGGGGGGTGTCTTCTCTCTTAAAAGGAGACTGGCCAAGCTTGCTTGCCGAAGCTTCTCTGGGCTGGTGTGGTCCCCTGGCCATGGTGAGCTGTGACCAGTTCACTCTTACTTAGAAATTGGAAGGTATCTCAGAAGGAGGGTAGAGAAAGAAGGCGTGTGTGCCTGTCTCTGTAACAATCTGTACTTCATGGCCTGTTTGTGAATTGTATTTCAAACTCCCCAGTTTTCCTCCTCTGTAACAAAGGAGGGGGTGGGCAGGGAGAGGACTGATTAGCAGGGAGCATGTAGCCCGAGGGTCAGGCTCCAAGGCAGCAGAAACGAGGAGCAGATGGTACCTAACTGATCCCTGCTTCCTTCAGAGACTCTGAATATGTTGTGAAGCACATTACTGTTGCCCCTCCCCCCCTTGTCTCATATTATAAAATACAAACAAAATGACAGAAAAGATCGTCTGGCTGGTGGCTGGCTGCCCAGTGCTCAGAATTTCACGGCTCGCCGTTTCCTCCCGGCCGTGAGACGGTGGTTGTAGGGCCTCATCTTCATTTCTACAAAGGGGATGGAGAATTCATGGCCTTTCCAATGGTACCAGTTGATCCCCTGGGTGTGAGAAAGATGAACATGTCAGATCACCCTTCCCCCACGGCTTGAGAGGAAGAGAATGACTGGATCGAGAGAGATCCACTTAGGGACTTAGCTCTTCTCAGTCCACAAGCAGCTTATGGCGGAGTTCCCAGTATGATGAAGAGAACTGGGTCTCTTTCCAGCTTTCCCTTTAAACAGGCCTGGGTCTTTATACAAGGCAAGTCGTGGGTCATTTCTTATTGCTAGTTTTATGTTTTTTGCCTTCAGAAGTTTCTTGTACTTGGGGACAGTGGTGAGTGTTGTGGGAGCCCACAAAGGTTTCCTAGTGAGATCTAAGCTTGCTTTACCCAGCCGGGCTGCATTAGTAGATGGCTTGATCATGTGCATGGTGACCAGGTGTCTGGGATGGTCTGCACTTGGCTGTGCTGGGGGGAGGTCTTTTGCTCAACCCCTTGGCATTCCTTTAAAAGTCCTTTAGCAGAGACAGAAGGGGCTGGTGGATTTTGACCCAGGCCCTCCCGAGGCTATCCTGTTTCTCTCTCTCTCCTCTATATTTCTATCTAAATATTTCTCACTTCTCCCTCCTCAAGAGTACCCTGGAAGAAAAAGTGGGAGCTGGTCTCCCTCAGAGTGTCAAAATCCCAAGTAGGTTAGAAGCATTTTGAATAGTGTAACCATGGACTGCTCATTCATGATGCAGAGACTTGGGTGGTTTCCAGCTGGGGTGAGCAACCTCTGGGGTTTGCCAAGGACTAAGGGGGCTTCCCTAAGTGTGTTCCACCCTTTTGTTGTCACCTAGCCCAGACTGTGGACTTGCAATCTCTTGGGGAAATAACCCAGATTACTTAGGTTTCTGATCTCTTCCTTTGGGGGCCCATTCTTAGAGTGCCGTTAAGCCCACGATGAACTGATGAGCCTCTCCCACAGAGCTCTTTACATGGTCCTTTCTCATCTTCAGAGCACTTCCTTTTAAATGTGTTCTGTGCTCTGGACCAGCCCAACCACAATCTGAACATGACCTACCTGACTGTGCCTGGACTCCCCGTATTTCCCATTGAGGTTGGTCCGGTGGCAGTTCTTATACCACCAAGCACCCTTGTATGACATGGCACAGTTGGTGACTGCAACATCATTGTCTCTGTCCTCGGTGGAGAAAGGGCGTCCCTGGTGATAGCTGAGGGAGTCTCCTGCAAAAAAAAACGAAAACAAAACCAAAAAAAAGCATTCAGGAGGCTGTCGCATTTGTTGTGGACAAAATCTGCTTTCCACATGGAACCCTGGCTTACCTCTCTTGCTCCTTCTGAGCGGCAGCATGGCTAAGCTGAGTTTTCCTTCCACATTACCTCATGGGGCGGGAGGGTGGGGTGGGGTGGTCACTGTTTCCATGTTTCCCTCTCTAATCCACTTCTCCACTACTGAGATTTTGCTGGGAACTTTACCCATATAGCTCAATCTTAACACCTCCATTTCTCCTAGGCTTTTCTGGGACACAGAACACTCATGTTCTCATTGTGTCCCTTGGAGACAGCAAGGAGCCTCGATGATGTGGATCATTCTGGATCTCCACTGTGTAAGTTCATCCTGGCTTTCCTCTGTGCTTGCTGGCCCTGATCAGACTTGCACCCAATACCTCACACTGAGAATTGGTTCTGACTGTGAGGAGGAACAATGGCAGCCAGAGTTCCAATCTATGAGAAACAGGAACATCATAACCCTGTCAAAGGAGAAGTGAGTAGGGAAATGGGCTGTGTCTTAGGGAGAAGCAGGCTTAGATGGGGAGAGAGTGTCCATGGTCACAACTGTCAAATATATGATGAGCTGCTGAAAATGAAGAATACACTTTGTGGGGAAATGGGAGAATGGAGAGACTACAGAGAGGAAACTTTTGGCTAAATAGGAAAAGAGAAATTACCTAATACTACCAGACAGGCTGTCTAACACTGTGGTGAGATTTTTCTCTTTCAGAGACAAATGGGGACTGGGTGTTCTCTTGTCAGGGGTGCTGTGTGGTGGCTCAGGTAACCTGATTATTCAAGGTGACTGATCAGATTATCATTTGTTTATCATGGTTGGTGAAGCCTTTGGCAGAATTTATGGCTGGAGATGCTGGGAAGGTAACTCACATTATTTATTTAATGAAAGTGATCTCAGATGTGTTTAAGGTTATTTTCCTCTAAGAGGGACCCATTTCTGACTCTGGCTTCCAAGTTATGGCCCCAGTGTCCACTCAACACCTTCTTCTCTGCATCCACTGAACTCTTGGCCAGTCAATCTTGCAGGGAAGTCTTTGCCTCACAGGGGAGTTCCTGAGGCACCATGCTTCATATCATTCTCATCTCCATATAATCTTGAAGGATTCAGATGTTGCGCCCATCCAGAGCCAATCCTACCAACTGAAACACTTTTTGCTATCCCTGCTTGAAAAAGGCAGGAAAGATGTCTTCCTTTTCCCTCCTACATCCCATCTTTACCTCCTTTATCCCAAGTCATACTGATACTTATTACCTTAAATATTCTTGGTTCAATTTTACTCTCTAGCAACCCATTCCTAAATCATCAATTCATCGACTAGGTTGTGCCTACTCACATTCCCATCATCTCACCTCCTGCAAGTTAGAACTCATCCTCATCATTCTCCAAATAGTTCTTTGTGGTTTCTACTTTCATGTTGCCAACCAATTGTTTCAGACCTGGTCCCCTTGGTCTTTGTATCCTCCCTCCTCATTTCTGCCTCATACATTCAAGACATGAAGTCCTGGTTTTCTCTCTTGAGCCACTATTCAGATTCATACCTTTCTCATAGCTCTGATATTAGTGAGGGCTCCTGTTATCTCCCATCAGGATTAATACAGCAGCCACCAGTTGGTCTCTCTGTTCTTCACTCAGATTTACTTTATCCTGCTTGGGGCTGTCCTAGAGATCTTTCTAAAACCCAAATCCCATTATGCCACTACGGACTTACAAGGCCTCCCTCCACGTAAAGACTGAATTTCTCCTTCAGTGTCAAGACTTTCTGGAATTAATCTTTCTCTCTCCATCCCTCTCCTTTCTTCCTCCACCCTTTACCTCCCTACTCTTGCTTTCCTACCCCCCCATTGCCTCTCCCTTTTTACTCCCTCTTTCTATATAACCCAGGCTAGCCTAAATGCTCAACCTGCCCACCTCAGCCTTTCATATGCTGTAATTCTAGGTGTGAGTCACTGCGCTCAGTTCCTGATCCTTCCAGCCACACAGCTGGCCCAAGGTTGTAACCTGCCAAGCCTTCCCCTTCCACTGAAGCCAGTCCTTCTGCGACCTCTTGTCCAGATGTTTTCTGGTAGTGATTTCAGACAACTAGGCGGATTTTAAAGATCCTTCGTCTACCGCCCAGACATCCTTCCATGAGTATCCTTAACCTAAGAGTACCATTTGCTGTGCAGAGAGCTACTTCCCAGTGTTTTCTGTCTTAAACTAGGTGGCTACTCTTACAAGAGGCCCCAAAACTAGGACATTAAGAGTTGTTCTGCCCTTATGGATGACACAGTCTGGAAGTCTCAGTTTGAATCCCAGTAGAGTTCCACTTAGATGGAGTCTTGGAGGTTGAGGGCCTTCAGCAATGGGGAGGAGGAAGGGGCTGCACTTGGACCCGAGGCCCTGGGGTGGCTGGTTGCCAGTGGGGCCAGCAGAAGTGGTAAGAGCCAGAGGACTTGGGAACTGTTACAAATGCCAGGAAGAAGGGGGCATGGTTTTCTAGCCCAATATGAACTGTGTGCAGTTGCCTAGAGATGGAGTAGCCTAAATAAACCCAGGGCTTTGTCTATTGAAGATGAACTGAATATATAAGGTGACAGGTGAATCCTCATTCATTTCTATGAATGACCAGGCAAGCTTTAGGAAGGGGAGAGCTAGGCAGTTTAACAGTTCTGCCCTCTGTGGGATGCAGCAGAGAGACTGAGCTTGGAAAGAGGTTTCCAGAGCTGGGCCCAAGGTAAATAGACAACATATGGTATTAGAAAGAGAAAGCTAAAGAGGAGGGATGAGGGGAGGCAGAAACTGAGGTAGGTGGCTTGTTTCTCTTCCCATACAAGAAACATGAAAGGCTTCTCTGTAGGCACAATTCTAATTCTATGGAGTGAGTAGTATCCATTTAGTTTTTGAAATGATTTAGTCTGACATCTTGTTTAATGTCCATTTCAATGGCTGTTTTATGCTCAAAGTGTGGCAAATTGGACCTTTTGTTGGGGCTCTTCAGGCTGCTCTGATTGCCACTGTGAATGACTCAGCTGTGAACAATAGCAAAGGTAAGTGTGTCTTCTTTTTAGAATAACAATACCTGGCCGAGAAAGGAAATAATGGAGCAGATGCAGTAATTGGAAGGGTAACACCTTGATGTTCATTTTAATTCCAAGAGTCATAGGAAATGCTGCTAAAATTAAACACCAGCATTTAGCTCTAAAATAGAGAAATGGAACATTCAATAACTCCATGTACCAAACAGTAGCATGCTGGGTACCACAGGCATCATGAAATGTACTGTAATAGAGCACATTAGGCAAAGGCTAAGGGATAGCGTGGGTGATGTGTTCTCGTGGACCTGAGTACAGAGAGCTTAAACAGATGGTTGTTCTGCTTGGTAAAAATGCCATAAAAATCAACACTAAAAACCCAAGTGGGTATACAGTTCGCTTGGGAGAACAAAAGGCAATATGGCTAGTGAGACATTTAAGCAACGCCCTTTGCTCCTTCATGGGGTGCTATGATGACTGCTGCTGTTTGGGTGAGGGGGAGTGTACTGGCTGGTTTTGTGTATCAACTTGACACAAGCTAGAGTCATCAGGGAGGAAGGAGCCTCAGTTGAGGAAATGCCTCATTGAGATCCAGCTGTAAGGCATTTTCTCAATTAGTGATCAATGGGGAGGGCCCAGCCCACGGTGGGTGGTGCCATCCTTGGGCCGGTGGTCCTGGATTCTATAACAAAGCAGGGGAAGCAAGCCAGTAAGCAGCTCACCCCCATGGCTCCTGCATTAGCTCCTGCCTCCAGGTTCTAGCCCTGCTTGAGTTTCCGTTCTGACTTCCTCCAATGATAGACTGTGATCTGGAAGTGTAGGCCAAGTAAAGCCTTTCCTCCCCGGTTTGCTTTTTGTTCATGATGTTTCATTGCAGCAACAGAAACCCTAAGACAGGGACTCTGAATTGTTTCATTAGCTCAAAGGTCATTTTCCTAGCTGCCACTGCAAGGAGATGTCTACTAAGATGAGAAATAGTTCTGCCCTCTTTAACTGGGAGCCCACAGAGATTAATCTAGATAAGACAGGCAACCCTTTGATCTCTCAGTACTTCCTTTTCAAGACATACTTATTGTACTTACAGCAGTTTTTCTGACTATTCTGTAAAGTGGGACAGACATCACGATTATAATTTTCCAGATGATATTACCATTTCTTATAATTTTTCCATGGGAGAAAACGAAAGTACCAAGAAGTTGATTCCAGGTCTCCTGAATGGATAGGAGGAATCAGAGCCCAGCTGTCTGCCTCCTTCATGGCTAGCAGATAGTTTATGAACTCGATGAGTTCTGCTGCTTCCTCTACAGCTCAGGGCTGGAACACACAGCCACCACCTGTGGAGTCAGGAAAGGGTCCCCCCAGGTACCTGCAGTGCCATTGTAGCCTCCTATGCGGAGCTTGTACAGGCTTCTACTGTCCTCTACAGCAAACTTGTCGTAGTAGGCAAAGGCTGCCTCCTGTCCATCCCGCATATCGACACGCAGCTCGTAGCGGCCCTGGGCTGTTATCCTGTGGATGTTGTCTAGCCCTGTGGAGAAGAACAGACTGTGTACTGAGTCTTGCCCTAGCAGCTTTAGTAATGGGAAGGAAACACATGCCATGGAGAAGGTGTTGGTCATCCACATTGTTCTGCCCTTCACCTTTCTCAGGCTGGTTTCAAACAGACCCTGCCAGACTCTGACTCTCCTCTTGTGAGAAGGTTACCCCAGGTCTGCTGAGGAGTGCCACCTCAGAGAACATTGGATCCTCCCATTCAGTCTTGACCTAGTAACTGACAAGCCCCAGAAACTCTAGATTCTTGGCCCTATTCCTCAAAAATCTTCTTTGTCAAATTAACAAGAAGTCTTGAACAGGTGTGATTCATTTGGTTTGAGTTGTAGGAAGCAACAGGTAGAAACACATGGTCAGAGAATCCAAGACACTCAGATACAGTAGATAACAGCCTCAAGACACCCAGCTACAGTAGAGTTTCCTAGCAACCTCAAGGCTCAAGCTTTGCAATGTGCTGTCCTTCCCTTCTGTCCAAGGTTCCTGGGGCCCCCAGACAGGTCAGAGAAATGAAGAGTCCTGGGCTTGTGATAATTGAACTTACGAATTTTCCCACCTTGTGATGGTACTAAAGCTATCTGCATTTGTTAGAAACTGCACTTTGCATTTGAGTCTCTCTCTATGCTGGAGATCTACTATGCTATCTATATTCTCTCCTTAGGTTGGGCGTCAGCTCTGAGCACAGCTGCCAATCAATCTTGTGAACACAAGGGCAGATAGTCCCACTCTGCAGAACACTGTGTAGCTAACCTATGATGTTTGCTAGGTTAGTGTATTAAACATCCTTTCAGTGCATCAGTAGTTTCCACTGAAGATGCGCTTATCAGGGTATAACCCCCTATTTGAACTTGGGGAGCATCTCTGTTACTATTTGCCTCCTGGCTCCCTTCTTTTTGTATCATATGCTACATGTTTATCTACTGCGACTGCCTCTTCACTGGTCTTTCTAAACTCCCACATAATTGCCTTCACAGCATCCCAGGCCTTGGGCTAAGAAATTCTTATAAGGTATAAAACCCTATAAGTCAGAGTTCAGGCAGAGCCTAGACGCCCTTGGTGATATTTTCTCATATCCATTTTCTCTGATTTTTGATCTAGCTACCTAAACTTTGAACTATTGACCTTGTGGTGCTGAGGACTCTCAGCCTTCCAGATTTCTGTCTGCCCAGTGGAGCTGGGTCCTTTCAATTTGATGTGACATCAGCTATCTATCTATCTTAGTGTACCATGATTTAGAAATAAAAAGTGGTATAGGTACAAGGAAATTTAGAGATGATTTGAACCTCCCTCTTCCTTTTGTGGGAGAGGATTCAGAGAGTGAAGTGGGTGGCCAAGGGCCCAGGTCTTTGGCTCCTTTACCTTCTTAAGATTTAAAGCTTTACCTCGATTGCAAGCAGAAGCCTTTCAAATGTTGCTTGTGGAGCTGCTGACCCACAGCCTGTCCTTGACTAGTACAGTTGTGCTGTTTGCTGGTGATGTTGTGCCTGGATGCTCTTTATCAAGTGGGGGAACCAACCCTTAGCCACTAGACATGTTGGCTGCTGGCGACTCACAGAGGCCTCTTCTATGGTTAATTTCCTCTGGCCAAATAAAAGTCACTTCTTCCTTCTCCTCATACCTTGGAGCAGACTCTCGCCAATGACTGAAGTGGAGGTGCGGAAGGCTAGCCTCCTTGGCCAGTGGGAACCAACCCAGAGGAGTAATTCATGTTCTAGAGCATCTCTTGGATTCCATCTAAAGGGGAGGTCTTTCCATGAATGTTCAGTGTTAGATTTTCCTGGATGTCTCCTGGTTCTTTCAATCCTCTTCTCAGGTAATTCAACTCTCACTCACTTGAATAAGAACTCACCCCAGTAAATAACTTGAACAGGAATCCCTATTTTAGGATCTGGTCCTAGGTAACCCAACTTAGAACATAAGCTGTGAGGCCATAGAGTATTGCTGCTTAACTGCATGGCCTCAGGTCTCTGTTAGCAAACACCCATATGGGGGGTTAATCTTCCTTGTCACTTTGACTGGACTTAGAAGCACCTATGGACATAGTCCCTCACAGATAGATCCAGAGGTTTATCTAGATAACACTAATTGTGGTAGAAAGACCCACGCTGAATGTAGGCTGGATAATCAATTGGGACGGGATCCTGAGCTGAATAAAAGGAGAAAGGGCGCTGAGTTCTAGCATTAGCCTATCTCTGCCTTTCTATTCCAGATGCAACATGGCTGACTGCCTCCTGTTCCCTCTGTCACGCCTGACGCCATGAAGGCCTGGATCTTCCAATTAGGAGCCAAAATAAAGTCTCCTTTAAGTTGCTGTTGTTGGTTACTTGGTTGCAGCAGTGGGAAAAATAACATGCCTCATTTACCTTAAGTCAAGACTTCTCTTTCCAACTTGTGAGTTCTGTAACATGCCCCTCAGTCAGCCTACCTGACCACATTTTCTTCCTTCTCTGGCTTGTTCCTTCATCTGCTTGGAGGGTTTCCTCCCTGTCCCCATTTTTCATGTGTCAAAAGGATTCCTGCTCTCCCTCCTCCCATCCCTTCCTCTTTCTCGTTCTCCTGATCTTTCTGTGTCTTAGCTCTCTTGCGTCTCTGATACCTGGGGCTTTTTGTCAGTAGTTCATCAGTCAGTCTGGGGTTCAAAGGGCATCTCTGGTGATAGGAGACACATGCAGGAACAAAACACTGAATAACCTTGAACAAACAGGGATGGTTCCACATCCTAGTTCAGCTTTTCTTAAAAGATAGAAGTGAAACCCTAACCTTGTCCCTAATCTTAACTCCCAGGCTCAGTTTTATTCTAATATTTCATGGTTGGTTGGACATGGAACACTTTCTGATCATCATTCAGCAGCAGCAGCAATAGACTTGGCATTCCTGAATGTAACTGTCATTTAATCATATTACTCTTGCTTTGTTTTTGTTTTCATTTTTAAATGATACTTTTTCCTTTGAGGCATCCTTTTATTTATGGCACACAACCACCAGCTTTCCATTTGGGCAATGGGTAAAGCTTCTTTAAAACATATATTTAATTAAGTAGAAAGTGATATATAGAGCATTTATGTGCTGAATAGTTCCCATGTTTCACAGAAATGATAGAAACTGTGAACTGGGTACACAGCGGCTTAGGTTTTTGTAGCCATGAGTCTTGACTACTTACGTCTACATCAATTCATGTATATTACTGACTCCAAAGCTGTTTGAAAATGTTTTAAATCAAAGCACATTTTTTTCTGCTTGTTTGAATTCTCTCTTAGTGTGTTTATATATGGTTCTTACTATATATTTTTATTTTCCATATTGGCAAACATAGGTTTGGCTATCTAACAAATACTCAATAAATTCTTATCATTAATTGATATCTACACTTGAGGTACATATATCTCAAGAAGTCTTAGGTAGTGATGTTTAAAGATGAATGATGAGATCCTAGGCCCCAAGAAACATATAATATAGTCCAGACAGATAGAGTAAAATAGATACCATGATTTGGGCCATATTGGAACATGGCCAATTATCCCACAGGCGATGGATGAAAAAAGAGTCAGTAGGCTTCTATGGAGGAAGGGGTGCTTAACTGGGCCTTTGGGTACAGGCAGGTAGACACCAAGGTGAGGAAGAGACAATTGGCTGAAGGGTGTTTCTTGCAGAGGAAACTTCCATGGTTGTGCAGGTTTGAAGGTGGGTGCTGGGGAAGTGGAATGGAGGACAGCTAAGGAGGTGCTTGGTGGTGGAGAGAAGGATCCAGAAGGAGAGCAAAAAGTCTTGCACCTTGGTGAAGGTATTTGGTCTTTACTGGGTGATGATAGGAGTCACTGAAAGGCTTTACTGATTTGTTACCCTTCACTCAGATGCGAGGCATGAGGAAGATCATTCTAGGGCCATGTAGTCAATGGGGTTACCCTGAGACTAGGGAGCCCAGTTCACAGGCTGTTACTTTGCCACCCAAGGGAAGATGGTGAGGCTTGAACAAGAATGTGGCAGGAGTGGGAGAGAGAAGAGTAAGTATCTAACCCCACCATTTATTTACCTTTCTCTACTAATGTGGGCATTCACACTCTGACTGCTTTATGAGCGAGCATCAGCACCATCAGTCTGGTATGCGTGTGTTTATCTTCCTGTACCCATCCAAACCTCCATCTCAACTTCCTGCTGTGTCAGACCTCTAGGAAATCACCTCTAATGTCACTCTCATTTCCCCCTTTCCCTCCCACGTCAGATAATAACACTCTCCCAGGAACCCAGCAGAGTCTCATTTCTCTCTCTCGACCTGCATGCAGGCTGACTACCTGGTTGTCTAGCTTCCGAGACCAGGGCCAGGCTGCCCACTGCTTCCTCTGCCCTGTTCCCTACCAGGCAGATCCCTGCCTTTGTACTTGCCTCATGTCAAGATCCATCAGCATAAAAGACTATTAATGAGGATGGGAAGAGACAGAGCAAAGAGGAAAACACCACAGTCAGATAAAAACGGATCAATAGCGGAGCCAAACAGAGCAAGAGGCACAAAAGCAATTCACAAGCTGTCAGCTTCTCAATAGACACAGACTTCTGACAATCCCAGACAGACACAGAAAGGAGAGAGATGGACAGAAACCCAGGGCAGCCTGTCCAGGGAAAACACAAAGCGGATGTTACCTAGCCAAAACTCATCCTCCAGATTCCCAAAGCCAGCGCGATAATCAGCCCATTTCCGGAAAAAATCAGTTTGGCCATTTTGCCGCCTCTGGAATACCTGTGAAGAGAAAGAGAGGAGATGCTCCGTATGACTGGGTTCTGTATTGGCTAGGATCAGGACCATTTCAGAAGTAAGCTTAGTGTTTCCATGGTAGATTTTGCAGGGGATGCTCAGAGTCCTTTTCTTGAAGTGCTGATGCCTCTGACAAATAGGCTGGGGGTGTGATATCGACACTAATTTGCACCCTGGTAATATAGAAACGATTCAGGATACATATCAAGCTCCAAAGAGTCAGGGGAAATGGGCTTGATTCTGAAATTAATCTTTTTGCACCACAGAGAGTAGTAGAAAGCATTTCTCACCAAAGGACTGGGACCAACTTCAAATCATCTAGTCACTGTCATCATCTTATTGCAGGCAAAGCAATTGCATATCATTCACTTTCCAAGCTGTTTAAGTGCTAATTTCATTTAACCTCCAATACATCAGCCTTGGCTTCAATTTCCAATTATGCTTTAAGAAGGAGGCACAAATATGTCAGAAACATAAAAGAAAATGTCTCCCAAGAGTATTAGGAGTGCAGTCAACATTTAACTCTTCAAAACCTTCTCATTTGGGGGCATTCAAGCTCCGGTGCGTGTCTGAGCAGGGCTAAGAAGGGTGTGGACAGAAGGGTGGGTGGGGCTGTCTCCATTCATACTGATTCAACCCTTGTTGCTCAGTGTAGAGCCAGCTTCCGGTACCTGCTCATGTGTGCAGTGGCTATCACCTCCAGGCTGCCCTGTTTCTTCTGCTCTGTACTAGTCTATCAGGTAGGAGAGGAGGTGGTGTCAGCAAGTAGTGCCTCTCTCCCAACCACTGTAAGGCTGTGACAGCTCTAGGGAAGAACTTGGGATCCAGAACAGGAGGAAGACACAAGCAGCTCTTGTAACTAGAGGGCCATCCACATTCTGCCCCAGATCTGACCTACCATGTGCTACCCTCCAAGATAAGGAAGCTAACTGCCTCACCACGGGAGGCCCAAGTGCTTCTGTAAGGTGGCCGCCCCCTCTCCTCTTCATTTTAGCTTCAGCCTTTGGCAAGCAGGATCCATGTGCCTCACTCCTTCCTTTCCCCAGCCCGCCCTGCAATAACTGTTTGCAGAAGGAGCCCAAAGCAAGGCTGTCATCTTACAGCCCTTGTTTGGGCCAGGCCATTGCATCCTTCATATGTGTCCTGGTTAGTTTTTGTTGTCAATTTGACCCAGCACAGGGTCATCTTGGAAGAGGAGAGCTCAAGTGAAGAATTGCCTCCACTAGATTGGCATGTGGCCATGTCTGTGAAGAATTGTCTTGACTGAAGAGGGAGGGCCCAGCTCACGGAGTACAGTACACCATCCTGAGGGAGGTGGGTCTGGGCTGTATAAACAATCTAGCTGAGCATAAGCTAATGAGCCAGTAAGTAACATTCCTCCATGCTTTCTGCTTTAGTTTCTGTTTGAGTTCCAGCCCTGACATCTCTTAATGATGGACTATGACCTGAAAGTGTAAGCCAAACAAACCCGTTTCTCCCATTGTTGCTTTTAGTCATAGTGTTTATCAACAAAATGAAACTAAAAAAAAAAAAAAAATCATTCCTTTCTCTGCTTGTGAGTGCGCTACTGAATGAGGGCCTTGAAGGCAGTGAAGAGACCAAGATCTAAATGAAGGGGGTGGATAAAAGGACAGTCCAAAGGGTGGTGACACTGTAATCCACAGGTACTTAGTCAGGTAGACTAGAAGCCTAAAGACACGTGTCTACAGCTTGTACTTACAATCCAGCCGCCTCCATCTGTGGTCATGTCACAGTATACTTGCAACTTGTGGCTTAGCTCCCCATTGAGGAAGATGGTGTAAACTCCACTCAGAGTATCTCCATTCATCAAATGCTGGGCACAGTCTTGAGGGTGAGAGAACAGCCGGCCCCCTACAGAAGAAAAGCAATGGAAAAATATTTATGTATGTATTTATTGTGTGTGTGTGTGTGTGTGTGTGTGTGCGCGTGCGTGTGCCACAAGCATGCATTCAGGCCATAGCATCCATTTGGAATCAGAGGACAACTTGAGGGAACCAGTTCTTTCCACCATGGGGTTCTGGGGATGGAACTCAGATTGCTAAGCTTGGGCAGCAAATATCCTTTTACCTGCTGGCCATCTTATAAGCCCCAAAGCAATTTTTAGAAATGGTTCCTTTTTCCATTATGCACAAGAACCCTTGGGCCAGAGGATATTTGAAAGAGTCTTGTGGTTGGTACTTCATCTTGAGTGTCATTCATGATGTGTGGCTCAACTTATGGGTTCTGAGGACCAAAGGCCGAGTTCGTGGTCTGGATTCTCTGCTTATTGGTTTGCTTGACTAAAAGCTAAGGGCCTTGAGCATCCACTTTCTGATCCATAAAATGGGGTAATAAAGACTTCCCACTTGCAGTATGAAAACGAGCTAATGCCATTGGAGACTGTTCCGAGATGGGCCAGTAGACCCCTGTAGGGGCCACCTTTCAAAAGTACAAAAGGCATCTGAACAAAGTCTTTGTCATCCACATGGCAGCCATTAAGGAGGGCCCCCCACAAGCTCAGCATTAGCATAGAGATGAATGTCTACTCCCTGTACAAAGCAATCTCTTGATTGTACTAAGCAATCAAACAGCCATGTTTTACAGTTCAGTTTAAATTTAAGGAGAGGGCAGGGGAAGTAAATTGCAGCTCATCTTTCAGAAGGAACAACCCAATCTGTAAAACAATACCTAATTAGCTGTAAGAGAAGCTTAAATCCTGAAGCGCTTTTCTCTGAGGTAAGTTTTGTGCTTATCAGGCAGGCCAAGAAAAGTCTACTAAAGGGATTTGGCTGAGGGGGACACATTAGAGCACAGCCTGCCACGTGAGGACGGTGGCCGGGGAGCTCTGCAAATGTGGGCTTCTGGGTCAATGAAGAACATGGTCACATGATACAGCTCTGTGTTTCTGTGTGGAACTGAGATAGGCAGGAAGAGAAGTTGAGGCAAGACGACAGCCAACACAGTGCCTCCTGGCAGTGTTACTCATACACAACAGATGTGACACTCTGCCACTTGGAAAGGCAGGATAGGGGATGATTGAGGCAGAGCATGTCACACAAGGAAGATGACGCACTAACATCTCTGAGAGTCCCCATCTTAGGCTATCTGTAAAGCATTCTATATTAGGAAGAGGTTACTGGTCTTCATGCAAGTCCCCCACCCCAGACCCAGCCACCTGACCCAGAGATATATTAACTCTGAGAACCATACTCCAGATTGCTACCACAGGTTTGCCAAAGTAGTTTAGTGGAACATGGCACTTCAAGAATAGTCACACCAAGGACTGGTGATGTTTCTATAAACCTCGTACTTTACAAAGTGTATTTGTATTTCTATTTAATTCTTATGAGAAATGTTGGAGGAAGGCAGGTTGATACAGATCTGAGACTTATTTTAACAGAGAAAGAAACTGCTCAGGAAGATTACATGATTGGCTTATCCAGGAGGCTGAATTCAAAATTTCAGAGCCCAAGTCAAGTGTACTGTAAATCTATTAAAACAAGAAATACATCCAGGGATGGAGAGATGACTCACTGTTTAAGAACATTTGGTGGTCTTTCAAAGGACCCAAGTTTGGTTCCCAGCACCCACATCAGATGGCTCACAACTACCTGCAATTCCAGACCCAGGGGATCTGGTCTTTGTGGGTACCTGCACACATGTATATGTACATACACAAATAAAAATATGAAATTAATCCTTTTAAGCAAACCTTAAAAAAAATATAACCTATGCTTCAGTTTGTTAAGGATCTTCATCTATCTAACAGGTAACCGATTTTTGTATTTAACAAAGAAGTACAAAACTCCAGGAGTTAAAATTACCTCAGAAAGCACGATGTTCCAATGAAATGCTTTCCCTTCAAAACTGACTTCTGTCGTCACTGCAGAAAAGCTATTGACTTTAATTTACAGCATGTCCTGGACCTCCTGAAAGCTCATATCTCACCTATCCCTGAAGGTTAGTTTCATTTCAGGGGACAGCCATGAGTGGCTTCTGTCCTCTCTCGCTGTTGCTTTGGGAACACTGGCCTTATTTCCAGTCAGCGAGGCTATTCTTGACCCTGGTCTCTAGAGCAACCATCATGCCTACTTGCCCCTCCCCCTCTCCCCTCTCTGCCTGTGGTTCTCCTTTCCGATCAGTGTATAACGTTACTGGTCTCCAGCTCACTGCTGCTTATGCACTATTTCTCCCAAAGGAAGAGGTCTTCATTAAACCATCCCAGCTTCTGAGGGAGACAGGATTTTGATTTCTCTGTAGCACTCCATGGATCCCCTGCAAAAACCTCTTCCCAAACTCAGCAGAGCAACTCATTCAAATACACATATAAAACCAAACCCACCTTGAGACTAGAGAAGTGAGCAGTTTTACCTAAGCTCCTTTTCCTTCATTGATAATGACTAGGATTTATGTTACAGATACTTTAAGAGGGTTCAAATCCATTCTTAGTTATTCTAAAGTTAGACCTATTATAGGCACATGAAATACATTAAGATGGCTTGCTCTGAGGAAGGGGAATTTTAAGTAAGTAGCAGTCATGAAAGAGACAGTCGCTTATCTTTAAAGTTGGAAGATAAGAATAAGTTCAAATGAAGGAATAAGTGTCTAAGGGGTGCCAAAGATGGATGGGATTAAAGTCTCAGATGATCCTTGGGGGAGGAAGGACCATAAGCCCCTTCTTCTGAGCTCCCACAGTAAGCTGGCAGGTGGAGACACTGTCCAAGTGTGTGGGAGGTTGATGCATGGTCGCTGGGTGCACTTGCCTTACCCTTGTATTACAAGGGTATCTGGTTGTTAATAGACTCGATTTACTGTAATTTAGTCTATGGCATTAGTGGAAAGGCAATCAAGAAGCATTTTGCCTTTATAGATGATCAGAAGCAGCAACCTGGGATTTCCATTCCCTGGGAACTTGGAGAAGATGCGACCTGAAGCTTCTTTCCTTCCTACTCCAGCCTTGAAAATCTCCCGAGTTCGTCTCAGACTCACTAGTCCTCGATCGACCTACCAGTCCCTTTAATCTCATAAGAGAAAGCAGAGGCTTGCTGAGAGCTCTCAAGTCATGGACTTTGTTATCATGCAGATCTCCGTGTTCCATCCCTGCTCTACCACATCATAGTGTCCAGTTAGGGAGACAGGCTCAGAGGTCAGTATCTCACCAAAGTGCTTCAGATAGAGTTATTCGTACTTTACATGTTTTTCTTCTTAGAAGCCGAGAGGTGGAAATGGTAAATGAGGTAGTGCCTTGGAGGCCTCTAGGCCAGCCCTCCGTGCTTAGATCCATATGACTGTGTGGATAACAGAATTCATTTTTCTCTCCCTCCTTCCTCTTTCACACACTCCTCCCTGTCTCCCCTTTTCCTTCTCATGTTCTTTCTTCCTCAGTCAGCATGTCCTGGGTACTCCAACTTTCAGTTTGGGTGGGATGGGGAAGAGAGGGGACATTTCACGTTGAGTTTAAGCCTGTGACCCAGCCTTTACCATTTCACCCTGCTGCTTTGGAGGCATTGGACTTTGGCTCAGCTAACAATTACAAAAGCTCTCCCATGTTCTGCTTGACCAGTCAACGTGCATAAGCTGGATCTCGTATGCTTTAGAGGATTATCAGGGCCGATTACAGGCATCCTCAGCTCTCTGGATGCCATGCTATCTAATCAGAGACCTACCTTTAATCCTGAAACTGATCATCCTAATAATTTTTCTGACCAAGCGCCTAACCTAGGATGTTCTTCTTCCTTTTGGTGCGGTAACTTGAGCCTGGCTGAATAAGGTGGCATTTTCTCTAAAAGAACAGGCTATGGTAATTACTGCGTTAGAAGGAAAGCAATGCCAAGTGATCAGTACACTGAAAAGTCTCCTGGTTAAGTATTTCCAGATGTAATTGTGAGAGCCCCAGGCCCAGGGCATTCACCGGAAGAATTGCTCTGAAATTGGTTTGTGTTGGGCAGCAGAGGCTGCATGTTGAGTGGAGAGCAGCTATCTTCACAACACACAGGGCAATCAGATGGCTCTGCCAGTGGGGAGCAGAAGGGCCTTCTCTGTGTCCTTGGGTGTGCACAATCTTTAAAATGGTCAGATTTAATAGCTCTAGAGAGCCTCTGCCTGCTGCCCACTCTGATGGACTTAGACTGATGACAGGCAGAGGCTCGCTAGAACTATTATACTGATGGACTCAGCATCAGAACCAAAGCAGTGACACCAGAGTGTTCCTCTGAGAACAGCTACAGGAGATTTCTTAGCAAATGCAGAACAAAGTATGTTTCTCCACAGAATCACCCGCCATGTTAAAATTAACAATCCATATTTGCAAAGTAACTGATAAAACCATTGGGGTACAGCTTGAGTCTGTGGACAGAGCCTAGTTGTCAATCAGCTCATATGAGCTTAATCTATCACTTCAGCTTTCTCAGAGAAACTTCAGATTTACCACCTTGTTGTCTTGTTAGCCACTTAACAAACATATGGGAAAGTGTCCCTTGATTTCAAAATACCAGGCTAAGAGATGGGGATATACAGGAGGAGAGAAGACATCCTTCAGTTGGCTCACGGTTTTGTGGGAGAAACAAACAAATGCGATCTCCAGTGCTCAGTGCTCGGAGACAGAGACAGACATGGAAGGACAGAAGGGTATCAAAGTGGGTACACAGTGGAGCTGGGGACCGGCGGAGAGGGGCTGAGAAGTGAGGTTCTGGAGTGGAGTTGAATTTGACAAGTGCTGATCAGAAAGCTTTCTTACTGTAGGAACTGACAGAGATTGTCCATGAACTTGTGGAGAAGGCCATTCCAGCCTCATGGAAAAGCACAGACCCCATGGAAAACTGAAGATTTAGCTAACAGACAAAGCAAGCACTAGTTGGATGGATGTGATATCC